CCACGCCTGGCTACTGCTGGGGCGGAGCAAAGCCTTCTGGGAGAATGCCCCCTGCTTGCTGGTAAGTAGCCGAAGAGACGTTGGAGGCACGGCAGGATGTGCTGAGCGGGATGTGTGTCCAGCAGCGGAAGGCCTCCTGGAGCCTGCACAGACCAGTGCTGGCCCCAAGAGGCTCTGGGGCCACTCCGGGGAACCAGCCTGGCATTGTGATTGGGTGGGCCGGGCCCCCTCTCTGGCGGGCTCTTCCTAGCCCCGTCCCATCTGGGGCAGGTAGGGGGCTGGGGTCATAGAAGCACAGGATGTTAGCGTTGGAAGGGACCTTGCAGGTCATCCAGTCCAACCCCCTGCAGCCCTCTGCGGGAGCATAGCACAGGTCCACACTGACTGGCCGCTTCCTGGAGCAATTGGCGGACTGCCTGCCGCAGAGCTGCCCTGGCCCCTGGCAAGGGTCCTTTCTTGCAGATCTCTCAGCCAGGCATGAGGCGGATGCCCACCGGCAGCACCAGTGCCAGCAAGGAGGGGAGATCAGGGGGTCTGGGGTGGGGCTGTAGCCCAAAAGGGAGAGCCCGGGAGCACGAGGAGACCTCCCTCCTGTCCGGAGGTGCAGGCTCTCATAAGCTGGACCACGGGCCTGATCCAGCGCAGCTCCTCTTAGGTTGCCCCTGGATCCTTCTAACCCACCCGTTTTTTCTGCCTCCCCCCCACACACACACATTGCTGCTCCCTCGTCCCCAGGGTTGCAGAGCCACGATTCTGGGTCTGTCGGAGGAGCCCTTTCCTCTCCTCCACAGCACCCCAAGAGGGCCCCGGCTCCCTCCCTCCCTCCCCTCCTGTGCCCTCCTCCCCAAGATCTGCATTGCCCCCGGCTGGCTTCTGGGCAGCACCGAAGGGCGAGAGGCCGGAGCATCTCTGCCGGTGGGTCAAGGTCCTCCTGGCCTGGGGGGGGGGACCAAGGACCTCATGGGAGGCTGGGCCAGAGGCTGCTGGAAAGAGAATTAGCTGCTCACGCAGGCCTGTGAATTGCTTCTTGCACACTTCCCAAGGGGGGGGGAGACAACGATGAAGCCCGGAGCTGCAGAAATTCACACTCTGGGAAATGAGGATGCCTTTCCCACCACCCCCCTCGCCTCCTTGGCCCTCGACCCCTCCTCCGGGCCTGCCAGGGGGCCACTTCACACTTCCAGAGGCAGCAAAGCGGTGACCCTCCTCCTCCTCCTCCTCTCCCCCAGCCTCCCTCCAGACTGGGCCCAGAGCCTTCCGCCCTGCCCGGTTACCACCCCCTATAGATGGCCCGGTTCCCCTTCCCTTGGCCAGGATCCCTGCCACAGGGACCCCGGCGGTGCCCCGGCAGGCGGCTGGGACAGATCCTGGCCTACCTCTCACAGCCCCCCCCTCCTCTGGCCTCCTGCCCACCTGCAACAGGAACGTTGGCTCTGAGCCTTCTCCCAAAGTGCAGAGCGTTCTTGGGCATGGCACCTGGATGCCAGTGGGCAGTGCCAGAGAGGTACTGTTCCCCTCGCTGTGTGTGGGTGTCTGGAAGAGTTTCCTGCAAACTTATGCTGGCTGCATGCCCCCCCCCCGGTGATTTCCCCACACACACACCAATTTCCCCTCGGCCTCTGCTGCCTGCTTACCTAAGAACGTAAGAGCATAAGAGAAGCCAATGTTGGATCAGGCCAATGGCCCATCCAGTCCAACACTCTGGATCACACAGTGGCCAAAAATACCAGGAGCCACCAGGAGGTCCAGCAGTGGGGCCAGGAGGACACTAGGAGCCCCCCCACTGCTGCCCCCCCCCACACCCAAGAAGACAGAGCATCCCTTGCCCCAGACTGAGAGTTTCCATAAGAACATAAGAGAAGCCAATGTTGGATCAGGCCAATGGCCCATCCAGTCCAACACTCTGGGTCACACAGTGGCCAGAAATACCAGGGGCCCTCAGGAGGTCCAGCAGTGGGGCCAGGACACTGGAAGCCCTCCCACTGTTGACCCCCCCAAGCACCAAGAACACAGAGCACCCCTTGCCCCAGGCCGAGAGTTCCTATCTACACCTTGTGGCTAACAGCCACTGATAGACCTCTGCTCCATATAAGAGTCCCCAGGGGCCTCCCCACTGTGGCCCCCCCCCCCAGCACCAAGAAGAGAGAGCATCCCTTGCTCCAGACTGAGAGTTACTATAAGAACATAAGAGAAGCCAATGCTGGATCAGGCCAGTGGCCCATCCAGTCCAACACTCTGTGCCACACAGGGGCCAGAAATACCAGGGGCCCTCAGGAGGTCCAGCAGTGAGGCCAGGAGGACACTAGAAGCCCTCCCACTCTTACCCCCCACAAGCACCAAGAAGACAGAACATCCCTTGCCCCAGACTGAGAGTTTCCATAAGAACATAAGAGAAGCCACTGTTGGATCAGGCCAGTGGCCCATCCAGTCCAACACTCTGTGTCACACAGTGGCCAAAAATACCAGGTGCCACCAGGAGGTCCAGCAGTGGGACCAGGACACCAGGAGCCCTCCCACTGTTGCACACACACACCCAAGCACCAAGAATACAGAGCATCCCTTGCCCCAGCCTGAGAGTTTCCATAAGAACATAAGAGAAGCCAATGTTGGTGTTGTGACTCTTCAAGCCCTGCCTTGAATCTGCCCAGATTAAGACCCGCCTGCTTCCCCCGGCCTTCGGTCAAGGGAGACCCAGTTTGGGGACTTGCTGCCCCCTTGTGGGGAAAAGCAACCTGTGCGCCCCGCCTGACGGGGTGGGGGAACATGAAGAGCTTGCTGGAGGGAGACAGCTGATGCCTGATGCAGCCCCCAGGATGGGGACGGGCCAGTGGATAGCGAGGGAGAAGCCCCTGGCTACGCTGCTGAAAAGCAGGACTGGGCCACACGGAGCTGCGCTTGAGCCAGAGGCCCCTGAGCTCCTGCCATGGAACATGTGGAAATAATGGTGCAGAAGATCTGGAGTACGTGCAAAGTGCATCCTCCCCCCCCCCATTCCTTCTAGAATCCCCATGGAGGCCTGGGCCCTCTCCCAGGTGTGGCATTCTCTCCTGGGTGTCTTTAGTGACCTTCCCGCCCAGCAGCAGGGTCTCCCACCCCGACCCTGTTATGTGCAGAATGGAATCTGTTCAGGAGGACATTTGTGTCAAGGGAGCAGGGCTGTGGTGGAGGCCCAGGTCACCAACACTGCCCGGTCGGCCTTCTGCCCTCTTCGGCTGGCTCCCTCTCTCTCCTCCCGCGACATGGCAACAGTGATCCATGCAATGGTCACCTCCAGACTGGATTACTGCAATTCGCTCTACACGGGGCTGCCCTTGAACCTGACCCGGAAACTTCAGCTGGTGCAAAATGCAGCGGTGCGCCTCCTGCCTGGGACATCTTTGCGGGCGCCCATACACCCAGCGCTTCGCCACCTGCATTGGCTGCCAACTGAGTACCAAATTAGGGTCAAGGTTATGGTTTTAGCCTTTAAGGCCCTATGCAGTCAGGGACCAAGCTATTGGCGGGACCCTGTCTCCCAATAGGGTGCAGAAGATATGCCCTCCCAAAGAGCTTTATGCGCAGCAAAACATCCCTGACTGGTAATCTGCTTAGCTTCGGCCTTTTTTTGGCTCTGGCTCCGGCCTGGTAGAACAAGCTCCCAAGTGAGAGAACAGGGCCTTGCGGGACTTGCTGAAATTCCGCAGGGCCTGTCAAACGGAGCTGTTCCGCCAGGCCTTCGGCTAAGGTGGTGGGTGCCTCACTCTATCTGGCCTCCTCTGCTCGAACCAGCCACCCCCCACCAGCCTGGGCTGCCAGTCATATCAGCGTATCACAGATTGGGATGGGTGGGGCTCAACTAGCATTCCAGTGCCCCCCCCCTCCTGAGTCACGCGCAGTATATCCCCGAGGCTTATGTATCACCATTTCACCATCATGTACTTTAGCTGGTTTTTAGGTTTTAACTGAAACGTATATATGTCCAATCAGCTTCCATATGCAAAAGACCTTGAAGGTTCCATATGCAACTGACATTCCAACTGCCTTGCGGGGAGGGGGGTGAGTTTGAGGTGTGGAATGCAGTGAAGTCCAATCAGCTTCCATATGCAAAAGACCTTGAAGGTTCCATATGCAACTGACATTCCAACTGCCTTGCGGGGAGGGGGGTGAGTTTGAGGTGTGGAATGCAGTGAAGTCCAATCAGCTTCCATATGCAAAAGACCTTGAAGGTTCCATATGCAACTGACATTCCAACTGCCTTGCGGGGAGGGGGGTGAGTTTGAGGTGTGGAATGCAGTGAAGTCCAATCAGCTTCCATATGCAAAAGACCTTGAAGGTTCCATATGCAACTGACATTCCAACTGCCTTGCGGGGAGGGGGGTGAGTTTGAGGTGTGGAATGCAGTGAAGTCCAATCAGCTTCCATATGCAAAAGACCTTGAAGGTTCCATATGCAACTGACATTCCAACTGCCTTGCGGGGAGGGGGGTGAGTTTGAGGTGTGGAATGCAGTGAAGTCCAATCAGCTTCCATATGCAAAAGACCTTGAAACGCTGGGCGGGACTGCACAAAGCAGCCAGTCAACCCAGCCAGCGTCTTCTGACTGACAGTTCAAGCGTCCATACACTAAAGGTGTGCATTTTAGAACGTTGGCACCCACTACTCTTTTATAATAAGGGAGAGATATTTTTCTTTTACTAATGTGTGCTCTTGTGTTTGCAATACGACCATCGATCCTGAATCTCAAAGAATCTCAACAATATGGCACTGCTTTCTATGCGTTGATGGGTACCTTGTGACCCGCCCTGAGCCCGCCTTTGGGGGAGGGCGGGATAAAGATCCCATAAATAAATAAATAAAGATATTCCTAGTGTCTGAAAAAACGGTCTTTGGGTTTTTTAAAAAATATAAAACGCATTGACGTGGGACACTTGATCCTGGGCTTTCTGACAACCGCTTAACCTGCCTTGAATCTCATCAAGGGAGGCGGATGGAAAAGGAAGGGAACAGATAAATGAATCCGGACGTAGACCAAGAGCCTTTTTTTATTTACAAGTCGGGGTTATAAAACTATACAGAAAGTGCTGGAGGGGGAAGGAGACTGCCATTGGGGGCAGAGTCTGTTTTCCTTCCTTCCCACTCTCGCCCCCCCCACCCCTGAGATAGTCATTCAGTTACTTAAACAGCTGAACACCCGGTGCATTGTGGGAGTGGAAATGCTGCCCCTCTGTGCGACCCTACTTGAGAAGGAGCCCCTCTGCACTGCAAAGCACTGCAAAGCATCATGGGAGCCCGTGGGCGTGGCACAGGCAGGACTGGGGCTTTGATGTGACACCCGGGCGCCTGGCCCTCCTCCCTCGCAGGGATGTCGCAAGCCTCCCTACTGGCTCTCCCTCTGAAACCACTGCAGCACGCCCTCTTGGTTCTCCGCCACCCACTTCATGTTGGCCTTGGTCTTCTCCAGCGCCTGCTCCAGAGCCCGAGTTCCGGAACCGAATCCGACATCCGCATTGTCCTTCTGGAACTGCTCCAGCTGCCGTGTGGGACAGAAAGGGGGGGCGGGGGGGGGACATTCCCGTTTCAAAGGTTGCAGCAGCTCCGTCCAGTGGGGGCTGCTCAAGACGTTACGCCAGGTGAGGAGGAGGAGGAGGAGATTGGATTTATACCCCGCCCTTCACTCGGAGTCTCAGAGCGACTTACAAACTCCTTTCCCTTCCCCACAACAGACACCCTGTGGGGTAAGCGGGGCTGAGAGAACTCTGACAGAAACGGCTCTTTTTCAAGAACAGCTGTGCCAGAACTAGGACTTGCCCAAGGTCATCCAGCCAGGTGCGAGTGGAGGAGGAGTGGGGAACCAAACCCGGTCCTCCCAGATTAGAGTTCGCGCACTTAACCACGACACCAAACTGGTCCTGCCATTGGCTGTGAAGAGCTCCCCACTGGAAAGAGCCCCTTCCCCCGTTCTAAGACCCAGATGAGTGGGGGAGACAAGCTTAACGGGGAGGGGGGGTGCGTTTCTCTCTTCCCCACTGGGGCTTAAAGCAGCCGATTTGGGGGGAGGGGTTGAACCAGAACTAAGTGCGGAGGGAAATCACTTCCAGCCCACAGCACCTCTCCAGATGGAGCCCTGTTCCCCCGGCGTTCCAACCACACCTACGGTTGGTTTGGCCATACCAAGGGGCGGGGGCGGGGGAGAGTGTGCCCGGTTGGCTGGAGAGCCCTGACCCAGGGGAGGGGTGACAATGGACTCTTCCCTCCCTCACGGGAAGGTGGGAGAGCACTTCTGGGAGGGTGACGAAAAGGCCCGGGGTTTGCCTCCCCACAACCTCCCCCCCCACCCCCTCCGCCCAGGCCTTACCTGCTGGAGTTCAAACTCGGAAGCGAACCTCTGCGTCACGGTCTGGATGAGGCCGGAGAAGGAGAAGGAGCCTCCGCCATACCTGGGTGGGTTGGCAGGAGTGGCATCAGCACGGGTGGGCAGCCTGACCCCACCCGTCCCCCCATCCCTGTCAGGGTGCCCCCCCCAACTCACTGGTTAAAGAGCGTCTTCCAGTTGGCACGCACAAAGTCCCAGACCAGGCTCTGCCCGTGCACGTTGCGGGCGATGCTGTTGATGGTGGAGGTGGCGTCCTGCCGGCGGATCTTGGAGGAGTCCAGGGTGTACTTCAGGTACCTGGGGGGGGGGGCACAGAGAGGGGGGCGTGTCTCTGAGCGGGCATCTGATGCCAGGGTGGGCAGAAGAGGTCCCCTTGGGAGTGCCCCCTCGCTCGCTCAGCCCTTCCTCCGGGGCAGCCGTCCACGCTTTGGGACCCCTCCCTTTCAAGTGACCGCTTCTCTCCCTCCTCTCTTCCATGCGAAGCAGAAGGTGGCACACGCACACACACACCCATCCTGTGCTCTGGGCGGGAGGAGGAGCAGGAGGAGGAGAAGACCACCCTGACCCCCTTCCCCTCCCACCTCTCCTCCTGCTCCATTACCTGCATGCGCATGACTAGCTCACCTCCCCACCTCCACAACTCTGGGATGGGTGACTCTTCTGGGACTCCGGAGGACCATTCAGGAGCTCCCAGAAACACAAAGCTCATCTCTGGAGATTGGGGGGTGGAGCCTGGGGAGGGCAGGGCTTGGGGTGGAGCTCAACAGGGTATCATCCCGCAGACTCCGCCCTCCGGAGCGGCCCTTTCCTGCAGGGGGACTCTCATCCCCATCGTCTTGAGATGAGCCAAGAGAACTCCAGTCCTCACCTGGAGGTTGAGGAAATCCGAAAACAGCATCCGTGATGAAAGTAACGAAGGGTCAATAAAGATCATTTACTGTAGAAAATTCTATTATCGCTCACGTGTGTATCTCCTTCCTTCTAGTGATAAGAATTGGGATTGCTACACGCTCAGATAAAGCAACTATTGTGAAATGAGTTTGTTTACATTGCGCAGCATTCGTTGCGTGTGAGCGATCATCGAAGAGAATTTTTTACTGAATTACTACAGTAAATGATTTTTCAAACATATCTTTATTGACTCTTCCTTTTTTCCCATCACGGAGGTTGTTGTTGGATTTCCACTTCCTCCCGTGATCTCTCAGTTTTGGCTTCTCACCTGGAGGTTGGGCAGCCCTAACCCATCATGGGAAAGGGGGCAGCCCAAACCCTCCCCCCTCCACCTGCCTGTCCTTTTTGGGTTGGGGGAGGGGAGGGGAGGGGGCCTCAGCAGGGTATGATGCCCTCCTCGAAAGCAGCCGCTTCCTCCAAGGGAACTGATCTCTGTTGTCTGGGGGGGATCTCCAGGCCCCACCTGGAGGCTGGCAACCCTAGCTTTTGGCGAGCTCTGCAGCTCCTCTGCCCGCCCTCACCGCTGGAGGATCCAGGGCTCCTGGCTGCAGGCCAGGGCCGAGCGGAGTTTGTCTGCCTCGGACACCACGGTGGCGTTCTGGAACATCTCCCAGCCAAAGTCCCAGGCCTCCTCTCCGCCCGTGGCGATGGCATTGCAATAGATGGAGGAGCGCAGATTTGGGGGGATCCTGGGGGTGAAAGGCAAGAGACGCAAGTCAGCCGAGAGCGTGAAATGCGCCAAGGGAGCACATTCATCATTAAACCCCCCCCCCCCCCAGACGCTCCAAGTTACGGTCTCCAGCAAGGCTCTCGGATCACAGAGACCACGACGCAGGTTGAAACAGATAATTTAGAACAACAGTCACTGGCTTAGCCAAGAAAGCTAACGGCAGCAGTCCCAAAAGTTCTCCCAGCCAGGGCAGAAGAGCCCAAACCCTAAACGGGACTGGGGAGGGAGTTCTGTGGTCTTGGGGCCCCAACTCTGCTCAGCAAACCGCCACGGGAATGGCCTCAGGTGCTGGCTCTGATCAAGCAATCCCCCCCCCGCTCCCCTGCCCCACCAGCCCCACGCAGTGGAGGGCAAGAGTGACCCAGAGCAAACTTTGGCCACAAGCCCGCCTGCAGGGCTATCGCGGCGTGTCGGGCCTGGCAGAGCCCTGCCCTGGGCTTACGGGTTGCTGCTGGGGTTTTCTCTCCATCTTCCGAAGAGGCCCGAAGCCAGGGCTTGGCACTCCGAGACGCCATACGAGCAGGCCGTGTTGATGGCGAAAATCTCGTTGTACCTGTGGGAGGAGCGACATTCCCTCAGGAAGGGGGGGCCGACCGATGCCGGGGGTGGGAGCACGGCCTCGCCCCCAGAAGGGGAGGGCTCTCCAGCCGGAATCGTGCTGGTTCTCGCCAGTCCTCGGCAGACCCCACTCCCTCCACCCCTCCCTCCCCCTTGCTCCCCGGAAGACTCACTGGTCCATCAGGCCGGAGGGGACGGTGGTCCAGTTGGAGGTGAGGGTCTGGAAGTGACTGAACAGAGGAGTTACCTGCTTCCGGACGTATCTCTGCAGTGGGAAGGGAAAGTGCAGCGGGATTGCAGGCCGCAGGACTGAAGGGCCTCCCACGAGGCAGGTGGTGCCAGGCCCGGAGCCCTTGCGATGGCCACTCCAGCCCCCTGCACCCCCCCTCTGTGGCTGTCGGAGTCTGCAGGGTCATCCTTCAGTCGTGAAAGAGTTCACTTGTTGCTGTAGGCATGCTCTTGTTAGCCGTTTAGTTCAGGGCCAATTAGAACTTGGGCAAGCACACAGTTCCCACCAGAGAGCAGGTGACAATATTCCTAATGATGTGAGCTGCAGAATGTCTATTGGATGGCCAGTTTTATTGGGGTGCTGCTTGCTTTTGGTCACGTCCACAAGGGAAGTTGGGAAACTTTTATCTCCTTCCTTCCTTCCTTCCTTCCTTCCTTCCTTCCTTCCTTCCTTCCTTCCTTCCTTCCTTCCTTCCTTCCTTCTCTCTCTCTCTCTCTCTCTCTCTCTCTCACACACACACACACACACACACACACACACACACACGAAGTTTAGCATCTAAACAGTCAGCATGGAACTTAGAAATACTTAGACCGGATGTTTGTTATTTTACTTCCCGATGGGACCCTTTTTCTCCTTTATATAGTAAACCTCTTTTCTTCAGCTCATGCAGACACGTGTGCCGCCTTCCCGGCTCTGCCAACTATTCCCGCAGTGGCAGCCCCTTCGGCGAGCAGCTCTCCCCCCCCCCCCCCCCCCCCTCTGGTCCCTGGGGCCCCGCCGGCACTCACCTTCATCGGCCCGTAGACCTCGCTGCGGTCAAACATGAGCTTGAAGTAGCCCAGGTTGCTGAGGGCCGCCTCCCAGGGCAGGTAGTCGAACTCCTGGGACAGGTAGCGCGTTGTGTTGAGAGCCAGCTCGGTGCTGATGTACTTGGCCCTGGAAGTTGGACAAGGTGAGCCTGGGGATGCGGCTCCCTGGCCGAAAGGCCGGCACTCCCCGCCACCAGCCATGGCAAGAGCACACCCTCTTCTCCCTGGGGCAGGGCTGAGCCCTGGGAAAGGTGAAGTGAGAACCCCCGAAGAGATGGAGGAGAGAGGAGGGAGGACACCCCTGGGGCTGGACTCCTCTCTCCGCCTCCTTGGAATGCACCCCCCAGAGGGAGGCATTGGGGGGGGGGGAGAGAGAGACTGGAGTCCTGGACAAGGGGGATCCTTCCCACATCTCCTTGTGCTTGGCAGAAGGTGCGGACCCTCAGCCTTCCCATCAGGTACCTTTGGGGGAGGGGGGAGGGAGGGCTGGGGGGTGGCTCTCCCCACTGTGAGACAAGCCAAGCCCAGAGCCACGGCGGGGGCCCCAATTCATCTGTGCGGGGCAGAGTTCCAGTTTCTATTCCACTCCCATCATTATCTTGAACTAGGGATGTGAAGCTACCCCACCCCCACCCCTGCGTACGGCATGCACACAGACACACACACATACTGCTTAAAGTTTCCCCCCATTTTTTGCAGGATTAAAACAAAATCAACACAAAAATGCAGAATTTGAGGGAAACAGTGAAAAACCTCAGCTGAAACCATCATTCAAAACGAAAAATGTTTTTTACTCACTCAAAAATGCTTTCTAACAATTTTTTATGGAACAGCATTAAAAGGTAAAGGTTCCCTTGCTCGAAAGCCAGTCGAATCCGACTCTAGGGTTGCGGTGCTCATCTCCGTTTCAAAGCCGAAGAGCCAGCGCTGTCCGAAGACGTTTCCGTGGTCATGTGGCCGGCATGACTCAACACCGAGGCGCACGGAACGCTGTTACCTTCCCACCGAAGTGGTACCTATTTATCTACTTGCAATTTCTCGCTTTCGAACTGGTAGGTTGGCAGGAGCTGGAACTAGAGACGGGAGCTCACTCCGTCATGCGGCACACTCGGGTCTCAAACTGCTGAACTACCGACCTTCCACAGCCTGCAGTTCAGCGTCTTAATTCCTGTATGTACTGTAGACAGACCATTATATTCTCAAGGCTGTTGTTAAGTGTGACTCATTTTCATCCACCACAGTAACTATGACAGACTGTTTCCGGTGGGGTCACTGCTGGCCATGTTGGTTTGAAGCAACAGAACAAAATTTGAGACCAGTGTGACACCTTGAAGATTGATGAAGTGTCACACGAAAGCTTAGGCCCGGAATAAAACTTTATGGGTCTTAAAGGTGCCCCTGCTGGACTCACTTTGTTCTATGACAGACTGTGTCAGACTGTGCGTACTGAAGAGATTTTCAACATTATATTCAGATCTTGTTGCTGGTACAGCTCCAATACAATGATCCAGTCCACATTTAAAAATATTTTCTTTATTGCACAATTTATGGGTTAATGTTAGCAACTTTTATTTTTTTCCTGCTTCTTAGGTAAAGGTAAAAGTTCCCTTGCTCAAAAGCCAGTCGAATCCGACTCTAGGGTTGCAGTGCTCATCTCCGTTTCAAAGCCGAAGGGCCAGCGCTGTCCGAAGACATTTCCGCGGTCATGTGGCCGGCATGACTCAACACCGAGGCGCACGGAACGCTGTTCCCTTCCCACCGAAGCGGTACCTATTTATCTACTTGCAATTTCTTGCTTTCGAACTGCTAGGTTGGCAGGAGCTGGAACTAGAGACGGGAGCTCACTCCGTCATGCGGCACCCCTGGGTCTCGAACTGCTGAACTACCCACCTTCCACAGACTGCAATTCAGCGTCTTAACCACTTGAGCCACCGCAGCTTCTTAAAGAGGTGGCAAAAACTAAGATATATGGGCTTTTAGGCAGCAAAGGATGTAAGGTTTGCACACACACTCTCTCTCTCTCTCTCTCTCTCTCTCTCTCTCTCTCTCTCTCTCTCACTCTCTCTCTCTCTCTCTCTCTCTCTCTCTCTCTCTCTCACACACACACACACACACACACACACACACACACACACACACACATATCCTGAGGGTAAATTTAAAGTTTTGTTTGAACAAAACTAACAACGGCAACTCTAAACCTTGTCTCTGAACGCTTTAATGGCAGCTAAGCTCTACACTGATGTACCCCGCAGACACTCCTGTGCCGTGGAAGGGAACACACGAAGTCAGGCATGAGTCTGACACACAGACACACAGACACACACACACACCCTGCCCCCTCTGCCAAAGTTAGTCTTGCCTACTCTGATTGGAACCAGCTCTGCAGGGTTACACGGGGATTGAACCTGGGGCCTTCCGTGCGCCAAGCAGGCATCCTGCCCCCTTGGGTGCTGGTGTAGAACTGGGCAAAGCGGGGCTTAGCCAGCCTCTGAAGCCACGCCAGGCCCCGTCGCCCCCCCAGTGCCGGCAGGGAGGCTGGGGCAGATTGCAAAAGAGCGCCTTCCAGAAAGCGCAACTCAGATCTGCAGCCCCGCTGCTGCTGCTGGGTCCTGCTGGGGCCTCCGCTCCCTGGGGCAGCAGAGGGGCCCTGCCCAGCTACGCGGGGGTGTCCTCTCCTTGAGCCCCGAGGCTGAGGGGGGAGGGAGGGGGGAGCCCAGCCCCTTACCTGGCCAGGTTGAAGGCGTCGTCAATCAGCTGGGCCCGGTTCAGAATGGGGATTGCCTGGGAAATGGAGGCAGCTGTGGGTCAGGAAGCGGGAGGGGCAGGGAGGCCAGGGCGGGCGGGTGAGGGGGGCCCAGGGCAGAGAGGCCCTCCCTCCCTCCCTCCCCTGGAGTCTGCGACTCAGGGAGCTCCGTCCTGCTGGTTCCAGAGCCGGGGCAGAGAGTCCCTGCCCAGAAGGCCTCCTCCCACCACGGGCTCCCAGAAGTGGCAGCCGGTGGAAGAGGGGGCGGGGGGGCAAAGAGGTGTGGGGATGAGGGGGCCTCCGACCTACCACGTGGTCGCTCTCCAGCTGGGCCAGGAGCTGGACCCAGTTCCCCTGGTCGTAGTTCACCCGGAAGTAGCCAGTCACGTTGATGTTGCAGACCAGCCACTTGCCGGGAACCGCAGTGGTTATAAAGTCGCCGTTGGTCTCTGCCCAAAGGAAGAGGGAGGTTAGGGTTCCCTTCGGCTGCCTCAGCCCCCCCCCGTCCCCAGCTGGAATCCCGGCTCCCCCCACACACACCATAAACTGTTTGCAGGAGAGGAGGACCCAGAGCTAGACGGGGGTGCTCCAAATCAGACCCCTGGGGAGCTGAGTGGTCCCCCACAGATGGAGAAGGTGCCTGGGAAAAATGAGCCCCTCCCCCCCTCTGCAGGAAGCCCCTTCCCCGGAAGCAGGATCACTTGGGGGGGGGGGCTGCGCGAGGTTGCGGGCAGCCCACAGCCACCTGGGATGTTGGAGCGCTTTGGGCAAGTGACTGCCTCTTGCCGGTTTGGCGCAGCCTGGGAAATCGGGCGTGGACTCTGACCACGGCTGCCCAGGGAACAAAGAAAGGCCCGTACCTGTCTGGTTCCGGAGCCAGTACATCCCTGCCTGGTTATCTGACGCCAGCCAGGTGATGGGGACTATCCAGGTGTAGCTGGGGGCAGGAGAGAAAGATGGAGAGAGATGGAGGCAGGCAGGCCGGCCTCTCTCCTGGCTCCCTTGCCAAAGGGGCTGCTGGTGTTCTCCAAGAAAGAGCCCTGCGGTGCGGGACACCAGGCGCAGCAAAGAGACTGTCTCCCCCCCCCCGGACCTTTCCCTCGGGCTCTGGGGCTTGTCTGCGCCAGTCCCTTCCCTGAAGCCCGAGTGAAGCACGCCCTCGGGGGCCAGGGCACCCCACCTACTTGAATTCCGAGGGTCGCTGAACGGTGGAGTTGGGGTCCAGCAGGAAGTGCTTCTGGGCCACGTTTCCGCTGCGGGTGTCCACGGTCACCACGGGGAAGCCCATCTGCAGGGTCCAGCGGTCCATGATCTCCTTGATGGTTCCAGGCAGAGAGAAACTGTCCTCGTTGACCGCCTGCCAGAGACAAAGAAGGAACCTTCTTGGCAGGGTTTGTCTTTCGGAGGCTGCTGCTGCTGCAGTGGGGCCCTCGCTCGCTCGCTCGGGACAGAAAGAGGTTTCCGGCCTCCAAGCCGGCAGGAGGCCACATCTGCCCGAAGAGTGGGCGAGCAGGCGGGCGGGGCAGGAAAGGGCTCCAGTGAAGGGAAGAAACTCCATTTCGGAGAGCAGGCCGGCCCTTCTCACGCACCCCTGTCCAGGCCGCTCTCTCTGATGCTCACGGTGCCTGTAGGCAGGCCAGACTCAGAGCCACCCCTTCCTGGACTGGGCTCTGGTGAAGAAAGGAGGCAGCGGAGGCCTCCTCTGGGAAGAGGAGGAGGAGGAGGGGGGGGGTTGGGGAGGAGCCGGAGGCAGACCGAAAAGTGGCCCCTGGCCGGCCACCCCAGGAGGAAGGGGCGCATGGGGGGAGCCCCTGGGCAGCAGAAGGAGCAAAGGGCACCACGGGCCAGGGCAGCTGGAAAGGATAGGGAAAGGCAGCCCTCCGCTGGAGACCCTCGAGGGGCTGTGCTGAGCACGTGAGCCCCCCCCCGTGCTTCCCCTGACCTAAACGGCCCCGGGGGGAGGGGTGCTCTCTTCCCATGGGGGGGGCTGCCTGTGCAGTCCCTCAGCCCTTCCTCTCCTGCAGGGAGACTGGAGAACAGAGACCCCTGCCCCGGGGCCGCGTCCTGTGGAGACCTACCATCTGCAGGTGCGTCCAGAGGTCGTCGTAGACAGTGTTTCCGTAGGCAAAGGTGTGCAGGTAGGACTGGGGAGGAAAGAGAGGCCCGCCCGTCAGAGCCCCTCCTGGGGGGAGTTCCTGAGCTCCGGGAGGGCTTGTCCCCCCCCACGGGGGGGCTGCAGCTGGGGTGGGGTGCCAGGAGAGCAGGCACTCTCCCGCGGGGTGTCCCGGGCCAGGCACAGGTGCCGCAACAGATCTGCGCACTGCACAGGGCCCAGAGGGGACAGAACCTCTGCAGCCAGGCGCTGGAAGCGGCAATGCCCAGCGAGGTCAGCCTTGCTTCTATCGGGCAACCTGCTTTCCTGGCCACTGGCCCGGTGAGGAGAAAGGACCTTGTGCCAAGGCCATATTCTCCCTGCAGCCGGCACCTTCCCTTCCGAAGCGGCAGCCTATGAAAGCGGGGGGCGGCCCTCTCCCTGTGGCCAAAGCTGGTGGGATCTCCCTGCTCCGGTCCTCTGCCGCCCCACACCACAGCCAAGGACACCAGGAAGCCCCCCCCCGTCTCCACCCCCTCACCAGGCAGGCCTCACCTGCAGCCCCCGTTTGAACCGGTCCTCGGTGAGGAATTCGGACAGCATTCGCAGCACGGAGGCCCCCTGCAGGGGAGAAGGGGGGAGGTGATGGGGAGGCAGCAGGACCCACCGTCGGCCCCCCTCCCCCACACTGTGCACACCACCAGGCCAGGAGGGGGGGCAGCAACCCTTCCCCGCCCCCCCCGCCCCAGGCCGCCAGTCTAGCCTTTAGTGGACCCTCTGCAGTAAGAAGAGGAAGAAGACGAAGACAAAGACAAAGAAGCAGGAGGAGGAGGAGGAGATTGGATTTATCCCCCATGGCCCTTCACTACCCAAAGGTGTCTCTCAGAGCGGCTGACAAACTCCTTTCCCTCCCCCTCCCCACAACAGACACACACCCTGAGGTAGGCAAGTGGGGCTGAGAGAGCTCTGACAGAAATAGCTCTTTTTCAAGAACAGCTCTTGACAGAACTACGACTTGCCCAAGGTCATCCAGCAGGTGCGAGTGGAGGAGGGGTGGGAAATCAAACCCGCTTCTCCCGAATTAAGAGTCCGCACACTCAGGACACCAAGCTGGCTCTCAGAGGGGAGGCAGGGGCTCCCAGGTGCCGTCTTCGTTGGATGGGTGAGGGGGTGCAGTGTTTTCTCTCTGTTTCTCCAAACAGCCCCCCCCCTCACCTTGCTGTAGGCGATGGAGTCAAAGACCTCGCTGATCTGGGCGGGCGTCTGGATCTCCTCCTCCCGGAAGGAGAGTGGGTGCGAGGAGGCCAGGGCGTCGATGGCCATCACGCGGTACATGTCGTTGTTCACCATCAGGTCTTTCTGCGAAGACGGGGGGCCCACTTGGTCAAGGCCGGCCCCCCGAGGTGCGTCCCCCGCCCACCCTCCGAGGAGTGCAGGGTCCTGGTGTTCCTTCCCAAGACTTCTCCCAAGAGCTCCACGAGCAGCAGCTGGCCCAAGGCCTCTGGGGCCGCCTCCTCCGGGGCTGCCCCGCCCTCCCACCC